CTAGGAAGGAATTTACTTGGCTTTTTTGAGCCAAATTAGACTCTGTGGCGGGAAGTTTGAAATGTATGATCTTTTCTTTTGAAATGCGTTCAAAGATTAGCAAAACTGAGCTGTTTGAAGCGTGGCGCCTAATTTGAATTAATTTGGCGGTCAAAATGCCAACAACTTCATCAAAAATGAAGCGAAACTAGAGGTGCAACGAAATAGCAGAGAGTCTCGTACAAGTTGATTCTCTTTTTCAGTCGGGGCCAACTCTTCGGTTTTCTTTCACATACTTCCCTGCTGCCATTTATCGGAACCTAATACCGACCAAGATCGTGGTTGAGTTCAGCAGACTAAGAAAAGGCATTTGAAGGCTAATGTTCAGCAATTATTTCCGCTCTGTGATTTGTGCGTTTCTATTAGTTATTTTCACAAAAATTGAGAATCTCTGATGCCCAGTTTGTCGGCAGATTTTATCGTAATTTTCCTTCAATATGTTCAGATATTGATGCTTATCCGTAATATCTGTGATTAACAAACTCTCCCACACCAGAAGTTGCTATGCAGCCTCACACCATTACAATTCCATATTCATGCTTAATAGTTAACGCGAAGTTCTTCGGTTTTTTTATTTGCTTTGCGCCATACTGTTCCCCTTCCTTTACTTCCACAAATATTGATCTTTTTCATCTCCAAAAATCATCTTGCGACAGCGATCTTCTGATGTATTCAAACATTCCTTGATAATCAGTAGTTTTTATTTCGATTAACAGCCTTAAAGGATTTTTTCCCATTACCGCACTTCTGTTGTAGCCGATATTCCTAATTACTGTGCGCACAGTTTCTGGACGTCCCCGACCCCTCACGAAGTACCGCTTCTACCAACACTGCTCGATATGATCGCAATCATACGACATCTAGCGGCACGACCGAGATAGACACGAAATGCCGCGAGGTATTCCATTGTGAAGACAGGCCCTCCGCGCCAAGAAATAAAAACGTAAGAATAGTTGGAAGGTAGTGATCTTCGTATTTTTTCTCTTCAAAATTAGGTACTGCATCTTCTTTGGTTGCCCCTGTCATATAGATTCAATTTTATCCTCTTTTTTTTATCTTTTCACTGATAACGTGCACTGTCCTCTAACTCATTCCTGCAAAAATTGCTATCTCCTCGTACGCTTCCTTTGCATAGTGAACAATTACAAGCTGTCTGTACGAAATGGAGAGATCTTTCACTTATTTTCCATTTCAATAGTGGGTTTTAGGCAGAAATCTAGAAGTGACTTAGAGAGTGACTTAGTTCTGAGCAGTTCTGAATAGGAATGGTACGCCGTACGTTGACTTCGTATCTTAACATATTAACAAACAGAATAATAATAGTGATATATTTAGAGACTTTGAACCAAATTTCTTGATATTATGTACCTGTAATATGAATTTAAGAACGACTACCTACAATATTTATCTAAATGTTTGAAATTTTGTAAGAAAACCAAGAAACGGAAAACATGCCCCCTGTACTATTTAGGTGAGTCGTGCTACTGGTAACCTATGCACGAGCTGCTGATGACCTCAAATAGTAGGAATATAGTACTTGTCTGAAAGAATAAGAATACATATAAGATGTATACATACTATATTATTGTATACATACTAAAATAATTGAATACATACATATACAAGAAGTTATGTATACAAACATACACAAAGAAAAGTATTATTTACACCATTTATAGCTCGAGAATGGCTGGCCCAATTTTAATTATCTATCATTTGTTGGATTCATCTTCGTCCGGAATGGCAGAATAACTGTTAAAATATCGTAAACTACATATTCACGTTACTCACGTTAACTCACTACACGATCCACGCTTTGTGTGTATATATAAACGAAGCGTTCTAAGACATTAAAACTAAAATTTTCTGAGGCTTCAAAAAATATTTCTCATATCATAATCTGCAGGATGAGATCTTCTTGAGCATTCTATTACATTTTTGTTGATTCGTCGCTTCTCGATATTAACCCACCTGCGCACATCTTCATTACGACTTACATTAACCTTCCAGATCTATCCAGATGTATCAGATGTAATCTTTCGACATCGTCACCTTTCGAAAAGATGGAGATGAATCACTTACAAAACAGGAATTCTGGCTATACCACGAGTTAGAGGATTTTTTCTAAATTTAGGAACTGGATTTATCCACTTTTTCGTTACCACGGCCCTATTAGGAAAGTTTATCTGCCGGAAATTCCCCGCTTTTGGGCGCAGCATTACAAGACTTTCTCTTATTAAGAAGTTTCTTCTTAAGCGCGAGAAAGTAAAAACAGATCTTCAAGTAAGGTCATGGTGAAATTTTTTTGAAAATACGAGTACTTTTTTGGGTAAATTTGTGATAAACATAATAGCTCGCTTCAAACTGGCTGCGCTTCGTGTACGTAACGAAGGTAATTCCCTGCAGGATGCTTCGTAAGTTAGAATTTGTATATTATTTCATATTTCTTTCTTCGTTGTTATACGTTTACAAATTAATCTTTTATAATTTACTCAAAATATTTTGAAATTGTGTTCCTGAAATATTGTGAAAATTGTGGTTTTTAATTGAGTTTAATGTGAAAACGAATAGATGTTTTCGGTTTGCATAACAAGATATGGGAATCAAGAGTAATACGCGTAAAAACCAAGTAGATTTGATAAATATAACAATTATATATTTAATACTAGCTTACCCATGCGAGAACTCTTGCATGCCAATCCCTACCCTTTCCATATGTTTAATTAACCTAATGTTTTCTTCAGTTTTTTTCTTAGATATATCGAAGTACGCATATAAAAATAGCGCAGATGGATGATGGATTTTATTCATAATGAAATCTGTTTTAAACTACTCGTGCTACAGAATCGTACAGACTTACTCGCACATATTTATCTTGGCTAGCGTTTTGATATTGTGCCATCGTCTTCACAGCTGCTACGTTTCGGACCGTAAAATTTATTTGTACTTTGTCGCATACTGCACACGTAATAGTGATAAAGTTATGCTGCAACGAAAACCAGCGATTTCTTCTCTCAGAAAGATACTTATCGAAGGTTCTCTACAACGAAACAGCATATAATGTTCTTGATCCTGCTTTTAGTAAGTTACGCCCTCGAACACATGCAGTCAGAATCAATGTTTTGTGGGTCCTTGATAAAGAAACCGGCAAAACGTCTGTCCGTCCCTCAGTCTCTCCGTCTGTGAACAACGCTAGGGACTAAAACATAAGGAAGATTTTCTCCAAAACCCACATTTCTCGATCGATCTGATGTCGCGTTTCATGAATTTGAAACATATATTTTAATTTTTAATCGTACTTTACACGAAGCCTAAACGACATTTTCATTTTTTTCTTAAAAATGGTTCCAAATTTGTGGATTAAATTTTGTTAACGGATAGAACTTATAAAAATGGAGCAGGTCCCATTTTGGTTGAATTTTCTAAATTTTCGAAAATATCTAAATGTTTTGATAGTAGTGATTTGTAGACAAATAACTCCTACTTTAAATATGAGTAATTACAAACTGGACAGTTTCATATCAGAATGATATGAAAAATAAATATTATAGAGAGCGTCTTTATGACTTTGCCAACACACTGATAAAAGTATATTGGCGTACGTGTACGAGAACTCTCACATGTGGAAACCCCACCCCCCTTCCTTATGAGAAAAAGGTGTTCGCGGAGCGTGTTTTCATGTAATTCTAGTAAGATTCTCGTCATTACGAGAAAGTTTCCGGTATCCCGAAGATGCAATGGAATATTCCAAATGATTTCTTATAGTGGATTTCAGTGTGGACTACATAACTCGAGACTGTCGGTCTCGATAACACTTTTTTCGGACCCTCGGTTGCATTGTAGTTTTCGAGTTTTGGACGACCGATGTGTCAGGAAAGAGAGTGGGCTCTTTCTTTTGGCACCCTAATTTTTATGATTGGTTGAATGATTGATTATTTTGGCTTTTCCGGTGCGTCAACTGCTATGGTCATTAGTCAACGTAAGTGTAGTGCGTGTTATGGAAAGGGGGTGGAGATCCTTTCCTGGTGGATCGTGCGCTGACTTACACGTGAGCTTGAGAAGTTTCTCTCTGCAGGTCTCTGTAATTACTAAACCCCGACCGATAATTCAGAAATAACTTTCTGTCATATTTCTTTTGATATTTTTTTTTCAAAATATTCACATATATTGGTCGTGACGATGGCAAGTGTGTGTCGGCTACATGTTCATACTATTGCTGTATCCCGTTTAAGAAAGTGACAACTATCCTTGTAACTGAAAGATCCACCCATATATGGGATTGACATTCATTTCTCCGTGACCCACATTTAAGCTGATTCAGTAAGATCTCATTGATTATGCTATTGTGTGTACATAAGGAACTTGAAAACGAGTAAAATTATTTCCGCCCATTAGAGACCATTAGAGATACATTGAACCAATTGAAATTGAACAATACCTATTTTGTCCAAAATAAACAATAAATAATTTCGCTTTATTCTAATTTAGTCTAACGGACATTAACGAGCAAACATTTTTTCGAAATGCAAAAATGAAATTATCCAAAAATGCCAATCATATATCTGGATATATTTATATTAAGTTCACATGAATGAGCAATTAATATATAACATTGTTTTTATGTTGTTTGTCCGAATTTTATAATTTGTCATTTGTAATTATAAGGTCGTTTATTTAACAAACATATATAATATTGTAATATGTTTTAGTCAGAACACAACAAAATTTTTTTTGATAACTTGAGCATTTTTATGTAAATTTTTCCACTACATTGTTAGGACGCAGTCCTATTTGATTGTGATCGTGATCGTGCCATGAATATAATATTTATTTTTGTCATTTTGCGACAGCTGAAGGGAAGTTTTCAAATATGGGGTGCGCTCGCGATGCATCTGCAGTCTAGCGAGCGCTGCGCGAACGAGCCTAGAAATATAACTGGCTGAGAACAGCTGGAGCCGCAGTATCACGCCTTTCTCGCGGAGGACGCGGCGCCCGAGAGCGACATTTGAACAGCACTTCAGCCACCATGGGGAAAGTGCCTGCAGTCGGAATTGATCTCGGCACGACGTATTCCTGCGTCGGGGTCTGGCAGCATGGCAAAGTAGAGATAATCGCCAATGACCAAGGAAATCGCACAACACCGAGTTATGTCGCTTTCACGGACACTGAACGTCTTATCGGCGATGCTGCCAAAAGCCAGGTATTTGCAGTTTTTTTTGTGGTTATGATATACATTATTATAACTTCATGGAGATCGTTTTGTATTTGTAGAAATATTTATGCATGAATGTTGGTTGATAACTTCTTCCAAATTTGTGATGAAAAATGTGTCTGTAACTTTCATCGTGTGAAGTAAGATATGAAAATATCCCGAGTTCGTTCTATTATTTCAAAATACTTTTCGAAATTTACGTTTCACATTAATATTGCAATTTCTTAAATGCAAATGTATAGCTTGTCAAATATATGTAATGGCTTAATTTTATATCTAGTCAAAATCAAATACGTAAAAAATGTATCATTTGTTGATTTAAGATCTTATGTTGTACAATTTTGGAGCGAGTATTTCGTGATACTGTGTGATCATGTTCTCTTATAGTTGTAATATATGGAGAGGCATTAATATTTAAAATAATTTATTGATTCGTGACGGCTTGTTTCCTAGTGAAGAATCTATAAGAAAATCCTATTACAATTATCAAATCTAGAAAAAAATCATAAATTTGTGTTTATTTAAAAATCGAATGGAAAATGCAGGATCTTCGTTCGCGGGCAGTCCAATAATGCATTAGCGGTACTATGATATGACCAGAGTTCATTTCTTACTTTTATGTAATCCTACATCACAAAGTCATATGATGAGGGTAAATGAAACTAAAATTTCGAGAACTCTTTTCTCTTGATGATTTTTTTAATGAGGAAATAATAAAAATTGATCACACAATATATGGTAATTTTCTAAGTGACATTTTATACATAAATATTTCCTGCCTCAAATTCACTGCAACGTGCCATTTTTGAGATCATTTATATAAAGTTGGTTCCGTTTCAAGGGAATAGTATTGAGTAAGCTTTATTGAAAAAACGAAATCGTACGTAAATATACATTTACCAATGCCGCCTCGAACGTCGGGAAGCACATTAATCAATTTATGGAAATGTTTTATTCGGATATTATCGTTAGCTATTTAGTAACTAGCAGTTGTCTCTCAAAGATGCATTTGGAAAGTATTTATGATTAATTATTAGTGTGTAAACCGCCCAGCAATGGCCAATAATTCTGCCCTCGCATAAATTACATGAACTGCGGGCGGTTCTGTATCTGGTCAGTTTACCAACCACTTCCAACCATTGGTAATAAAAGCTTCTGCGCATGTGCCGCGCGTTGTCTTTCTCCGCAATAAAGCAATATTGAGGAGTGTTACATTCGGATTGACCGAAACCTCTGATACAAAAAGAGCTAATACGTAACGTTTGGCGTAGGTAGTGACGTCCCCAAGTCACCAACAGGTAGTTGGGGGCTCATTTGAAACCTAGGGGCGCGAGTTAACCTTTAAATGGGATCCCCGCAGCCCCCTCCGGACAATGGGCGCCCTAGAACATGTGTAGTTGTGTACTTGCCTCTCTTCTGAGCCCTTTGCACAAATTGTATTTTCCTTAAATAAAAAATCTGTTATGAAAAACACCGAGAATCATTGTGGGAGCAAAAAGAGTGATATGAAACTCCGTGTATGTTTTTCTCATTTTTTTTGTTCTTTTTAAATTTGCACAAAATATACGACTTACCGGATCTTTTTTTACTAACTTCTTAATAAATAACGAAGAAGCGGAGGTGGTTTGTAGTATTTCGTGTATCCAATATTGTCAGGACGAATGATAATTTTGATACATTGCGTACCAACTTAATTTCATATAGATTTTTTTTAGCGGCATCTTGAAATTTAGCTCTTTGGGTCCGGACAACTTGTCCCTATTTAAATACAGAACTATTTTGAAGTAGTAATGTTGTCAGGACAAAAAATAAATGTTTGTTGAAATCTTCGGTATACTTCGCACGATAGACTCAGCAATATTAAATTAATAACATTGATCCAAGGATAATTCTACAACTAATTAATGAAGTAATTTATGATATCAAGGTATTATTTAATACGAATTTTTTAGTTTTCAATAATGTTAAATTGATTCGTTATTACACCAAAGTCCATATACTTATGAAAACTTATGAAAACGTTTGAAATCTGGAGTGATATTAACAGATAAAATCAGTAATAAATCAGTTTCTCATTTTTCATTTCTTACGAATATATTTTCGTAATTCGACGCTACAAATATGCTGTGACGCATCCTGAAAATGCAAAAAAGCAGTAATTCTATATACTTTTTTTGGTGTTCTCATCCGAAACGGCGAATGTTTGTCAGAAAAGATCTTGCAGCTGGGCTCTGGTAACGCAAATGTGGTTAATCGTGTCCTGTATATAGTAACACTTTGTGTAGTCAGAATCCATGTTTTGTGGGTCCTTGATACCGAAAAATCGATTGACGGCAAAAAGACCGTCTGCCTGTCCGTCTTTCTGCGAACAATGCTAGCGGATAAACCCCTTCAGCCGATTTTCTTCAAAATTGCTGTTTTCCAATCGATCTGGCAGACGGCGCGGGGCCTTGAATTAGAAACAGATATTTAAATTCTAGAGGGTTACGTTACATGAAGCCCCTTTTCAGATTTTTCAAAATTAATGGCACCAATGTCTTTTATAAAATTTTGTTGGTGGCGTGAAGAACGTTTAAGAGAATTGTGCAGGTTTCGTTGTGCATTTTCATTGAAAACCCTGATTTTTCGAACATTACAAACATTCAAAAAATGTTCCGGTGTCTACCTACAACTGAAGATAATATATTTTCTTAATGAAATTTGCTTTTAAATACAGATCTTTAAATAATATCATGTTCAGTTTTTTTAAATATGAACATTTGTTTGCATAATCAAACTGTCAATTTTTTAAATTTTAAACAATTATTTTTCTAGAAACGTCTCTAATTTTTTTCTTTAAATACTTTTCACTTATGTAGGAAAGAACGGTAAAGAAAGTGGCGCCGGTCTCAATTTCGGCACACTCTCTGTATTTTCGAAAATTGAAAAAGAAATCGAAATGGTAAGTTCGAATTTCCTGTTAGTTTGAGGGGCTCTCACTCTATGAATGTAATTTGGGTTGTGCTTGGGGGCAGCTGGTTATTAGTATAATTGGTAATTTGTGTAAAAACCACTAGTATTAATGAATATATCAATAACATGTTTAATTATTATATTTTTCTATTCTTTGCATTTTTGGTTATCAGTTCAAGAATGCTGATTTGCAAAATGTGTATGACATACGAATTCATCAGCCATTGTTGCTTTGAAAGCGCGGCTCAGGTAACAGAAGACTAGAGGCGGCCGCCGCTGGTTCGTGTTATTATAAACTAAATTTTATTTACGGCTAAAATACGCATCGGACATTGTTGGTTCATTGATGAAGAATATGAATACACTAAAATCAATGGCACGGTTTTCGTTTTAACGTTTGAATTATAAAAATAATATGTATTTTTAGTGTTTCGTTTGTTTAAAAAATTTTCAAATTGTAGCTGGAGTGTAAGACAGAATTTTTCTGATTATAATATTACATAACCATTAACAATATTGCGAGAAATTATGTGTTGTGGCAGCCCCACTAGTTTTCTTTCAGCCTTTTGAATGAATAGTACTATATGCATGGCAAAAGCGGTTAATGTAATCTGTATAAATTCAAAATTTTTCATAATTTCAAAGATTTTTCAAAATAATCAAATCCATTTTTAAAATATCTCTCAGAAGTTAACAGTTACATTACGGTCATTTTTGTATATTATTAAATTTGTGAACACAAGTACTTCAAATGATTTCTTACAAAGTTTCTCAAAAGTTTTCTATGAAAATGAGCTCATAATTGCGTATATTCAGAAAAGCTCAAACAACATTTTCTCAAAAACGGCTCCAAATTTTTCACTGAAACTTTCATAGAGGAGAAGCTATTACTTTTATAAGATATTCTTAATATATTCGTGTTTCTATTCTATGATTAGGGGCCGGAAATTTTTGAGAAAATGTGATGTGTTTTAGGCGCAGCTGGTAAGAGTGTGGGACAAAGTCGAAAAGCTGATGTAAATTAAACTGGTGCGTGAGAGACTGTACCATTTGGTAGCGCCAGTAGTTGTAGATTGTTTTAAAGATTATGAGAAAAAAGCAGGTTTTTATACGCACGTTTGTAGTACGATTGATCCTAAATGTTTCTGTGAAGTTATAAGCAATATTTTTCCTCGAACTAGATTTTAAAAAGTAATGATTTACCAAATCCTAGAGATGATAAAATTCATAGACCTTACCATTTTTTTTTAATATATTTTTCTGATATCTTATATTCTCACTGCACAAGCAAAATTAAAATATGTCTCTTACAAAATATTTGCAACACAAGAAAGGGATTGTCATAAGTCGTGCAAAACGTACAGTACACATGAACTAAAAATACTGAATTTGAATCGCATAATACACGATGTATAATACTGAATTTGCAGATCTCCAGATTTAAGATCGACGAAGCGCTACGATCGGAACCATATGAACCAAACCGTTTCAAATGTAGACGCTTCAGTCACAAAACAAGAAATTGTATAGAACATACAGTGCATTGACAGTTTTTGCTATTAGTTCACTCTGCATCTTCGCTTAAAATATTTATCAATTTACAGTTTACATGAAGTACAGCTTCATCCAAGTTCTCTGATGAATTATTAGGATCTTCGAATTGGTTACCATCATAAATAATTAGTTACTTCTTTAAATTCTGTTGTTTTGAACACATAAGTGGATCGTTTTTGGGTTTTGCTCATTATCACACATCTACAGTGCAATGGTGTAGGTGCTACCACTATTTCGACTTAATTTTGAATCTTTTAAACGCATTTTCTCAGTTATCTGAATATTACGATTTTTTTCAGATCCCCATCTAAGAGTTGTAATGGGGAGTGAGGATTGTATATTTAATTTCTTTTGAACTTTATAATATTTTGTCTTAAAGAAAAAAATAAAAAGTGCTAAGAATGATTTATGTGTCACAAAATAAGAATCGGGTTAACGGGTCGCTCAAAACAAAATGTAGTCGATACTATTAAGAAAATCGC